TTTTCGACATTCAGTGTGAAACTTTCCTTGAAAAATTTGTCAGATTTTTTGCACAGAAAAAAAATTAGTTTTATTTATAGTAATAAATATTATGATCGGATTGATCAAACTTCTATTTTACATTAACTAATTTTCTAACTCATTTCCCTCAAGTAGAATATAAAGAAGAAATTTTCGAGAATGAAAAATAATTTTTCGCAATAGCGTTTATGCTGTCTATATACTATTTTTGCATTTACGTGAAAATGATTTAGCGAAACAAAAGTTAGCAGATAATTTGAGTCACACAAACGACACTGCATCAAACTGCACCGGCGTTTGCGAGTCACTGGAATTGCAAACGACGGTAAGTATCAACAGCTGTTTCGGAACTTTCGAGTATTGCGCGACCTTGAGTAGCAAAGTACAACGAGATATTTTCACCATCGCTTCTCTCGCGTGAACGAACACCTGCGCGCAGCCGTAATGTTGTAAGCAACATGTCAATTTGAATTTAATCGATGAAAGTAACTTTATATATTTAAAGAAAAGTATCCGATAACTGAGAAAGTAAGTAACGAACATATCGTGCTTAAGAAATTGACAGTAAATTTCATAGCAAATATATAATCATTTTTCAAGTCGATAATAAAAATATGAACGAAAATGGCAATATTTTCCGCAGACACATTAAATTGAAAGCTACTTCTCCGCGTTATCTCCTAAAGAGATTAGAGGAAGGTGTAATAAAAATTTTGACATAAACCTCGCGCAAACTCAGGCGGAAATGTACGACTGAAAAGAAGCAAAAGACATATAACGTCGGAGTAGGGACAAAAAAGCGGCGTAAAATTCGCTGGATCTTCCTTTACGAGATATCAGGTCGATAGATAATTCTACGGTAGAACGTCGGCCAGTAGGTGGACATTCAATTTCGTAAATGGCCGCGGCGGAATCGCGACGGTCGTAAATCGTCGGGGTCTTATCGCACGATTGCCAGTCGGCTAGCTCCTTCGTCCCGATACCCCATAGGCGAATCGAAAGGACGTCTCGTATGTGGGCTCATCTATCGGAACCGGAACCGGAAGCGGCCGGGCGTGAATAACACACCGCGAACGATCGCGTTCACCGCGGACGATGCGCATTAGGGACGCCCCGTTACATAATCCTCGGCACAGAATGGCATTGGTGACAATCATCGAATTACCTGCGACTGCAGGCGATCGTTTGCGATTTCGTGCGCGGATCGCAGTCCGAATCGAGACTTCGTCCAGTTTCGCGGTATTCGTCGTATCCGCGTCACAATCTGGTATCGCACGCGGAGGTACGATCAATTGTGATATTAATATATTTGTCGGTACCCTAATTATTAAAAAAAATATCTCGCATGTAAGAATTGGCAATGATAACAATGATGTCACATCTTTCAATTATATGAAGTGAATTATATTGCTGTAATTAACAGGCGAGATTTTTCAATAATTGGAGGCATTGACAGATAATTTTAACGCGATACAAAATAGAGAGAATTACTTGGGTTTTTTCGTGGTAGTGAAATCGAGAGTGACATCACGGTGCCATCTTTCCGGCGTATTTGCGACGTAGACAATCGAATTCGCTGACGTTACATATCGGTTTTAATTTTTGTCGCGAGCCTCTCTGTCGCACTCGATCTGCGGAGAATTGACGCTAACGTGCTAATTTAATTCGCTCGGCTGATTTGACGAAGTGACTTAGCAACTCGTGTTAACGCAGCCATTGTTTTTATTCCTACAAGGAAACTTGTGCTCTCCGAACGAGAGAAGTCAGGTTTGGAGTATCGTTTTTCGAAGTCACACCGTGTACAATAAAATTTAATTAACCAACAATATACAACATTAATTCATAAAGTTATAAACACACAAGTTATAACTGTTGTGCATTATTCGTTGTTTAATTTATTTCTCCAGAGACTTCGGAGACCTCCAGAGTGCTGTCGAAACTTTTGAGAGAACGTCATGTTCGCATATGAGATATTCAGGAGAAATAATATGTATTTCTGTTATGTTTCCCTTCTGACTTACGTATTATTGTGTGTGTCTAAGAGTCGTGTATAGTATCTATAATCTAAGGGTTTCTCAACCCGTCGGCTCGCGTATAGATGCACGGTCTGTCTCTTATTGTTGCGCGTACACTTAGCGAGAGACACTACCGTGTCTCTTGCTTAAAAATATCGATATTGTCCCATCTCGTATTTTTGTAGTCATGACTTATTCAGGAGAAACCGATATTGAGCTCGTGTGCCTAAGATTTATCGATTTATGTTATAACTCGGCTGAATTTAAACAAACGATACGTCATTTAGAAAATTAAATCGCGGTTTTTATTTTGATAAAGCTCGACCGACGTGATATCTAGGTTGGCGCATATAATTAACTCGGCTCTCTGGCACGTACGGAGATGACCCACTCGCGGAAAAACGGCCTCTAAATACATCTGTCGTAGATACTTTGACGTCTTTTGACTTAAAACATTTAAGGCATTTTGGAAGTTTCAGATAATTGACCTATTTGTATAAGGCAGAATGTCCCAAATTCTCCACGTATATACATCTATAGATTCTTTGATCTATAGACTCTTTGACCTTTATTCAGTGTGTCGAACAGAAATAAGCTCTTCATACTATATAACATTTTTAAGCTCCAACAGTATTTTTAAATTAAAAGTGATTAAACATTTAAGACTTGAAATTAAGCTTTTCAACATTTTATAACAATAAGACTTTATTTTACATTTATTTTCAAGTGAGTTCTAATAGAGTTCTTTTAAAACTTGCAGAAAAACGATAGAATTTAGTTAAATGTTATCGAAAAGGTTCGATTGCAAATTGCTTCAGTAAATAATATATAATTGATGAAAAGAAATGCGAAAAAATATTCCGAAATAGCTACCGTTCGAAAATAATGTTTCCTAATTGCCTTGATCATTTCTATTTACTCCAACGTACGACGTACATAAACAGCTTTGACCTGATCGAAACATTTCCACAGAACGTGCGGATTAGTTTACGGAAGCGATTCGTGGCGCGAACATGATCACAGGTGAATCACCGTGCGAGAAAGCCGCGCGGTTACCGGTCTTCCAGATATCGCGTCGTGTCGGTTTGGCGGCACTCGCGTGATAGCGGCTTAAGGCGCGAAAATAGAGCCTCCGCAGCTCGTTGTCGTCGACGTCGTTGACGGTGCCCGAACGGACGCAGCTACGCGCTTAGTCTGTAACTGGAAGTACACGCGAGAAGAGCGAATCGCGCGGCGCATTCGCCTGGGAGCTCGGTTTCACGCGCGAGAAAATAATCTCGAGAAGAACAACGACACGCACGACGGAGACGGTGACGGAGCAGGAAACGATTCGCCAGAACGTCGTCACGACAAGAAAACTGACGAAGCGTCGTTGTCTCGCACGCAACGGGCACGAAGGAGCAGCGACAAGAGTTTTCGAGGAGACGAGACGCGGATGAATCTGACGGACGAATCGGTTGGATTGTAAGAAGAAAGCGTTAAGTTTATCGTTTAAAGAGTTTAGTTGTTCTCGTAGAGCTTAGTGAAACAAACTGTGCAAGTGTTTTTGATGCATAGAATCGAGGTATTAACTAGTTAGTAATTAGTACGTATTATTTGGATTATTTGACAGATTTTTCTTTACTAATTCCTATATACATATATAAGAAATAACTTCTGCGCTCTTGATTAACAATCAAAGTTAGTAAATATAAAAGATAAATTTACGAAAAAATTACTTGAAACCGCTTGCGTATAAAAATGCATTACAAAAAAAATTATACCAAAATGAATCGTGGAAATCACCAAAAATTGCCAATATTAAAGATAAATTTAATTCTTTACTTATTGTTAATTTATTACTGTACGTAAAATTGATATCTATATTACAATGCAATCATACCACAACGTTACGATACGAAAAAATAAAGAGCAGTGTTATTGATATTGTGGATTTTAACTGACTTTTTATCTCGAAAGATACGGATGACGGATCAGCGATACCGCGTATTTAATTGGATCCCCATAATAAGCTGCTTGCGCAATTCTTTAAAAGAGACCGGAGCAATCGAGGCCATTGCAGGCATTGATCGACTGATCGCGCTTCAATTGAAAACGCTGCTACGGAATCCCAAATTCAATGACCATTCCATACGGTGCTCTACTGTCAAAAAGCGTAAATCGTTCGAACAAACAGCTAAAATATTCGAATGAATGCGAAAGCCTTACATTCTGACGTAAAATTGCATGTTTAAAATTAGGACACAACATACTGTTGCGTAACTTTTTGTCGATTTAAATTTTGTTTCAATAATATAGAAATATACGAAACTCGGTTTTTTTAGTGACGTGAGTTTAATATATTGAAAGATTACAAATGTTGTTACAAATCGAGAATGCAAATATTTTAGTGAATTGTTGGAAACTGGACATTATGTATATTTTTCCTTTTCTAAAAAGGAGATGTGAAGTTTATTGTTGCCGCTTTTCCGCGATGCCGATTGGTTTTCTTGCTGCGCTTACTTCATTTGCAGCTGTCATTGTATATTTTGACAGTTGTGTATAATAGGGTTAATAGTGAAATGTTAAAGATAAATAGCGCGCGCGTAGCGCGCGTCTGCAGTGTCTAGTAATTTAAATTTCTCATCTATATTTTGTCAATTGTTTCTATATGAATATTTAAGTGCCATCATAACGTCATAATGTCCCCTAATTAGCACACGTCAAGCTACATCGATTTTGCTAGGTTAATGTTTAATTTTAGCGAAGTAACCATGTCATTCTGTTCTATAACTATTCCAATCGTCGGACTCTTATTCATTCTTAACAAACCCGATAATCAATTTCGTTAACAAGACCTTAAAGTACCTTAAAGTACTCACGTTGATCGAATCTTTCAACCATTGAGTCCTCTTAAATTGCATTCATAGCTGTATTATCAATGCACGTTAATATCCTTCAAATAATTTCTGTTTTATGTTGCAGCTCGACTCGTCGTGCTGGTTCGACGATCGTCGTAGGATCTCCAGGAGTATCCAAGATTTCACGACTAGGGAAACATTGTCGTCGCGCGACGCGAGAGAGAAAGAGAGATAGAGAGAAATAAATTGATGATATGATGGATACGAGAAATGACCGCCGATCAACGATAGATATTTTCGAAAAGGACGTGCCACGATCGGACGAATTGCCGATCATGGTGATCCACAGGGCGGGAATCGGCGAACTTTTGGCGAGACAAGCGATGGCCTGGTGCCGTTCCTGGCTTCAAACATTCCCCATAAAAATTACGTTAAACAACGTCGGATTGTTGACGGTGCTCCTGGCAATTGTGTCGCCGCGATTCCTCATTTACACAATCCTTTATCCGATTTTCAGATTGGTCTTCGGCACCTTGTACCCGGCGTACGCTTCCTACAAGGCAGTGCGCACGAAAAATGTCAAAGAATACGTAAGTGAGAAACATAAATAATGAACTAAATTGCTTTGCAAATGCGATCATAGCCCTTAAACTGGACATCTCAAAAATACTTAAAAATATGTCAACTATGAAACATTTCGACATACTCCTTCTTTTTTATTTTCTGAAATACTCATATAAAAATTATTTAGTTAATTAATATGTTGTTGAGCAATTTTACACCTAAACGTTATCCGCATAACATAGCTGCGCTGGTTAGAATTCGAGTAAATGTTGGAAATCTTTTAATTCCAGTCTTTTGCTTTTCTCGCAGCCGATAAAGATCGAGCCGTATTTACGTTGCTACATACACAGCTGTTATCAATATTTTTTTATCTTTACAATCTACTTACGCTAGAAAAAAATTTGCAGTAATAGAACCCAATTTAATTTTGTCTTTTAAATCGTTCTGTTTTTTCTTTTTGTGAATAATAAAATATATAAATTATATGGATTTTTAGATTTTTTCTGGAGCAATATTTATTTTTTTTTAATCAGCTCACTAGTCATTTTTTAAAACTATTTTCTGAACTATAATATAAATGATGAATCACGAATACATTTGTCTGCGGTCTTCCTTTGCACCACTTTTGTAATAATCTATTGCTCTAGAATTTCCTTGGTTTCAGGTCAAATGGATGATGTACTGGATCGTTTTCGCGCTATTCACATGCGCGGAAACATTCACCGACGTCTTCTTTAGTTTTTGGTGAGAAATACGTTGCTATTGTAGAAATTTATCCGCTATGTAATTTACGTGAATTATGAGTCTTGTATGTGATTTATCTAGATCGAGTAGGATTAAAAAGAATGATAATTGAAACATCCGTGGAAAAAAGACTATCTTATAAAAACATTCACGCATTAGTCAGAATTTTTTTTTTACATTTGCATACTTTGCTGGGAATAATCATTACCGGAATTAACATTCTCATTTTTTAATATAATATTAATCCGTTAGTACACGTTAAACTCTACATTATACATGTATCGCGTGTTTCCCTCGAGCGCATTATTAAAATATTATCATCTTGACGTTTTTGACGTTTAAAAGAAAATTAATGATCGAGTCAAATCAAGATTCTTGAAAGAATCTAAGATACGATGTAGTAAACGGCGTCGCCGTTTTTATTTGGGGGAACGGCCGCGTATACGTAACATAACATATCGGCTGAATCTTGGAATCGCAGCAAGCAAGGGGCCAATAAACCAGCTGCGAACCGCGCGGTCTTGAAAGCCGTACTCTCGTCGCGAGGAATTCCGAAAGTCTAATTTCGGACAAGATAGATATTGGCTTACATGCACTTCTGAGGATTCTGCCCCGCACGTCTCTTCTGACCTGTCTCCGTCCTCTCCGTTTCTCCGTCGTTCCTCCCTATTCTCTCTTTCTCTCTCTCTCTCTCTCTTTCTCATCCTCGGGGAACATCATGCGCCAGATCTCCCTTCATACTCGGGTTACAACCAAGAAGGAAACGAGTTGCCGCGTATTTCTGGCATCGAAATGCCCGATACTCTCCCGGCGCACCGCGGCATCGGTGCACCACATTTCTTCACGCCGCTCTCACTTTCACGCCCGTGACGAATTTTTCGCGATGCGAATCGAATCGAGTAGATTGCAGCCGCGTGACGGCACAGCGATTGCCCGCGATTAACTATTTTTATTGTTGTTACATTATGATTACGTTAAAAACATGACAAGTTTTATTTGGAACTCTCCGATCAGATGAAAGCGTCGTTGTCGAACCAACGACTTGGATATCTTTAATTAAAAAACCGTTAATTTGACGATGTAACAGATTTTAGAGGTTCTTTATTATCGGATATTATAATACTTTCACGCATAAATGTCACTTATTTATTTATTTATTTTACTGCGATATCATGACGTACACCGTGCATTAAAAACATACATAAAGCTTTTCAAAGTAACTTCAAGAAACGGCGAGCATTGGCGCGTTCGATATTTTACAGCTTCGAACGTCTGTTACATAGGTTCCCGTTTTACTATGAGATTAAAATCATCCTGGTGCTGTGGCTGCTGAGTCCGGCCACTAAGGGCTCCAGTATCCTTTACCGGCGCTTCGTACATCCCGCGCTAATCCGCCGTGAAGCCGAGATCGACGAAGCCCTAGCTCGCGCGACCGAGCAGGGTTACACGGCGGTGCTGCATCTCGGCACCAAGGGCGTGAACTATGCCACCACGGTCCTCATGCAGACCGCCATCAAGGTAAGGCCCTACATGGACCGAACGTTAAAAGGAAGTGTATTGTTATTATATAATTATTAAATATTATAAAGTGTCTCGGAATTTCCTTGCCCTTTCATCTTCGGGGATTCTTCGATCAAGTCGATTTCGAAAAATCCACGAATGAAAGGTGGAACGATAGACTGGGACACCTTGTAGATGTAGAAAAGAAACCGGCAGCTTTCAAGGAAGAGTTCCACTTTGGAAATTTTCACATTTATATTTCTTATATACCTTCCATTACTAATGATATATTTCAGCGTAAGCGCGATCGATTATTTATTTTTTACGTAAAATTTTGTAATTTTGTCTTCCGAAAGAGACTGCCAGTATTCAGGAATGTGCCTTTTCTTGTTTGATCTCGTACTTTAACCAGCCTGAGCTCTCGCTTTCATTGATCACACATAGAACTTCTATCGACCCGCCTTCGATTGCCGCTCACTAATGATTTTACGTGTTCTTGATTTTTTCTGTTTTCGTTCTGTCCCATCCGCGTTCCCGCACGCCATCGCCCTCTCTCACCGTCGCCATCGCCGTCTTACCGTCTAATCAAAAACTGAAACAAAAATACCAAAAAAAAATCGCCATCATCGCCATCCGCAAAACCACGCACGGCCAAACACCGAGCACCTAACCACCGCCCGATCATCGCCCTAACCGCTGCCGTTGCTTAAGAAATCTGTGTACACCGAACCGTCGTCGACCACACGACGAAATTCTGCCACTGACCCGTAACAACAACCACCAACACGAACACGCCGAATTGCTGGCCGATTGAAACGCAAAAAAAAAACTGTATAAATAAACAAAATCTCGGCATCACATGATAGAATCTCCCGATCGTACTCCCGCCCACGACGAGTGCACTCCCCGATCGTCAATCAGACCCGGCGATTTCTAGCTTAGCCAACCCCAGAACGAGAACGCAGTTAAACAGCCAGTTGGACGGGCCAGATTATCCGGACGGTACCGCGGTCTGCAACACTCTGCATGTTAAATCCGAAGACCTGATAGGCGACACGGACGCGGTCGACTGGCGATACCAGGAATCGACAACGGACGACGACGAGGAGATGATTCAGGAGCTGCCGACGATGGACGCAGAGTGCGAGATGCTGGAGGAGCAGCAACCGGTGGTGTTTAAAGTGCCCGAGAAGGAAGCCCCACGGAAAACGCGAAAGTCGCGGAAGGAGTGCAGCAGCACCACCAGCACCAAAGTCACCAGGCGACAGAAGACTCGTGCCTGTAAGTCGACCACGAAAAATTACGACATGGAATTCAGCGACGACGCCGAAGTCAATTAACTAGGGAAAGAGAAAGAGAGAGAGAGGCGGATGACTCGCTATAGACTTGGGAAAATGAGGATCCCTGAAAGCCTGGAAAGCGGACCGATGGATCGACAATATCGGGAAGTGCCGGCGACTTTTATCAAAGGCTGCGGATGATTTGTATTATTACGAATGATAATAAGTAAAAGACTTTTTTATGCGCAAAAGAAAGCGCTCTGAGGATTGATGACAGAACTTTTTGTATATTATACACTCACTTTGATATTTTTCTTTCATGCAATCTATTAGAAGTTTTCTTTTTTCTTTTTTTTTTATACAAATGCGTGAGACGAAATTTTCTGTTTGCGAATCCACGATATATATCATTTAGTGGTACGTATACTCTTTTCTCTGTATTGCCTTTGTAAGTATAAAAATTACACCGTGTGTGATTGTTTAATCGTGGACAATACATTTTAGGAAGGTTGTTTGATACACTAATAGGTAAGAGACTTTGTACAATCATGTATCTCTTTTTTTTAGAAAGACACGAAAATTTCGAAAGGCTTTAATCGTTACATTGACTATAGTGGAGAACTTTTAATCATGTACACATTTTCGACCAAGATAAGACGCGTTAGTCGTTTCCACTCGAGTGCCTTACTTCGATTTGTATTTTTCCACGTAAACTTCGTTCGATTTTAGGAATCATAAGAATTATGTCTTAGCTGGAATGTAAGATAGCTTTAAGACTTTAAGTAGCAATCTCAATATTTTTACGTAATATTCCGCACATTGTTTTGACGTTAATATTAATAATGTCAATTGTCCAAGCGCGCGATGAGTTTCAGTACGATCTTAAGAACGATGATAAAAAATCGTTGACGTCGTAACATATAAAAAAAAAAATCTGAAAGTATTAATTGGAAATTCTGTATAATTAACTATCAACAATTATATGTTTTTTTCCTATTACGTCGTTTTTATCTCACGCGATTCTTCAGTGAGCAAAGATGTGATTAGGACAATCAATCATCATTTATAACTAATCGCTTAGTATTGATTTCGATTAAATCTAAGACTACACAATCGAATATTTTTATATGTAATCTGATAAAAATTAAAAATATATTTTTCGACAAATTTTTCAAGAGAATGTCAAACATTATAAATGCGATTATAAAAACTCAAATTGGTTAAACTACAAAATACAAATGTTTAAACGAGGAATAATTCTCACAAGTGCTAGAGCGAAAAAACTCACATACATAGTTCTAGAATTTGAATTTGAATTTTCTTTTCCTGACTTCGTCATAGGTAGAATTGTTATTTACAAAAAGACAACGAATCTCTAACTTAGATTAACTCTATCCAGGTACTCGTTGATGCAACTGAAACTTAAAACGCATTATTATTTACATCGCTCTATATATGTCGCATGTTCGATAAATCATACGTTTTAAAAGATGCGAACTCAGAAAAAAGAGTTGTTGATACGAGAATCGAGTGAACAATAATGCATACAACGAGATGGACGATTTTGCGCTTGCACAATCGTCATCATCATCGTCATCATCATCATTGTTGTCATAGCTAGTGTTATTCGCGTGTTTGTGTATTCGTCATCTCGTTTGCGCGTTTCACCTGTAAAGTTACCGACAAAATCTGTGTTAAATCGCGCGCACACGGAAAAATCATACTAACAATAAAATTTAGTCTATTGTCGGCTAACGAATGCTGGCCATGTCCTGCCGCTCCAGGTAGACCGGCGCTGATAAAGTGCCCGTCGCTATTCGTTCGACGTCACTCGTTTATGGAGAGTCATAGACGGAAAAGGACGCGTTTGTTACTTGTTGCGAATGATAGAGAGAGTGAGGTTTTTGTACGTCATGCTACAGTTGAGGTATATGTAATCGGTTATTCCTCTGAAGAATTGCGTATTACGACCAGACGTTTAACTGTAACGTGTGTACGTTATGTATAGTTTCAAGAGTAAACTATCGGAGATTGATACACGGGAAAAGCGTGCAGATCAGTTTTAGTCTTTGCGGCAACAAAGACGATCCCTGGTCACGCAAACCTAGAGGGCCCTAGAGGCCCTCTACGCAAACCCAGTGCCTTCTAACGTGTAACCACCGTGATATTTCCGTGTGCGAGCGCTCAGCTGTCGAGCTGTCCTAGCGAGTAAGATTTTTGTACCCGATCCCAAAGACTCTGATTATTATGATGAGCTGATTCCTTTTTTTTTTCAAATAAAAGCATTATTTGAATAAGCTTTCGGTCCTCTGTTCTTGTTCGTTCATCTCGACCGCGTCCTGTCTTACATCGGCTCCCGCTGCATCCTGAACGGCGATCTCATTGCAGGCATTAATTATCGCATCATTCTTTCCAAAAGTATAAATTCACTTCCGTTTAATAGAACTAATTGCTAGACGACGCGCTATATTAGACGCGACAGTTACTCACGCATATAGTGCACGCATTTTCCTGGTCGGTCGTCGCGTGCTTCTGGACGGCGCATGTTTAACAGAAAGACACGTATTTCCGGGGAAAAGCAAGAAATCGCCTTTGGATTGATCTAAATCCGGCGTAAGGGGAGTTTGCCTTCCGTGACCGGGTGACGGCAGATAACACATTAACATCTTTTTGGTTGGTAAGATTTTTATTTTGTTTTCTTTCACTTAATCGACTCTCTGATTTTTTCTCTCTCGATGACTTAATTTTTTTTTCTTTTTTTTCTCGAAGTAAGCAACATGCTGGCCGCGTCGCTTGCGACGCATATGTTTCACGTGCGACTTCCTTTTCCAGGGCGGCGGCGGGCTGGTGCAACAATTGAGGAAAAGTTACAGCCTCAGTGATCTAACCGGCGAGAAGGAAGACGAAAATAGAAACACACCCGATGCGCGTGACGAGACGGACATGGAAGGTAGCTGATCCCTAGCGTCGTTCTAATTAAATGGAGATTTTATAAGAATAAAACCAATTCTGCTCAAATTTAAAGAATATGAGCAAATGAGCCCCATTCCTTTTTTTTACATTTTTATAACTGTGCCCATTTTGGACATAATTGAGTAAATATCGTCAATTTTTGTACACACATATACATTTTATTATATGCAATTTTATACATATTGTATGTCCTATAAATTTTGAAAAATTTTAAATGGTCCTCAAATATAAAACGAGACGCCCTAACAAACTACTTAGTAGCTTAATTTTAAGTACAGATATTTGTGGTCCTTATAGTGGAACCTCGCCGAAGAGAACACGTCGGCAGAAGAGGCTATAGTCCTCGCAGGACTCAGTCCAGCAGCAACGCGTCTCGAGTAGAGATGTATTTTTCCGAAGTGGATGTCGATGTTCGACAGCCAAGGCCTAGGGAGCCTATAGCTAGTTTAACGTACGTAGTTCGCACAGCTTCCAAGTACGATCGCGTCGTTGACGTTAATAACGAATCTTTCCACGTTCATAGAAATATAAGGTCCTCGGACGACATATCTAGCGGTTACAGTAGCGGCGAGGCGTTGCAGTCCCAGCGAACGACTTCTCAGGGTGACTCTTTAGTAAGAACGTCGAGCGTCGGTGCGAGAACACGCGTGAAGCCTCGTTCCACCGCAAAGAAGACGCCCGAAGTAAGCCCGATAAAGCGTAGCGTACCGTAGGGACTAATTATTCGTACACCGATCATTAACCAAAAAAAAAAAAAGAAAAGAAATCACACATCGCACTTTGACGCACATTCGTCAACTCAGCTAATGACACGTACTTTTTTGTGGTCTTTGAAGGACAGGGGCGAGGATTTCGACTGCACACCTCCCGAAAATATCTCCCTACCGTCGTCCCTAAACGTCCTCACTCCCGAACAAGCTGTCGAACTTTTACTGTTGTTATCCCAAAGTAATAATAAATCGATAAACTACCCGACATCTATTACCACTTATATCGATAGCGATAAATCTGCAAACGAAAACCGATCTGCAATGAAAACAGACGATAATGAATCGTCATCGATGGAATCGAGCGGTGAGTTTGTTGACACAGACTCGGCTCAAATAGACGTGCAAACAGTGCAAACTATAGAGATTAAAAATATCTCAACGGAAAACTTGTCGATACCTGCGGTAACAAAAAGCGCAGATAAAATAAATATCGATAGTTCGATAAAAAGATTTGATATTCCGCAAAGCGAGTCCAACGCGCAAATGGAATATATTGACGATGAACCAAAAAAGGATCAAGAAGTTTCAGCTGTTTCCCAAAAGTCTGAAATAGGAGGAGCTGATCTCGAGCGAATAACTGGCGAGATTTGTCAGCAAAAATTCGACGAGCTGAAGCAATTATTGGATGATGCGCATAAAGCTGTGACAGGCATCGTGTCTTCCCAAGAAAAGTTAAATACGATTAACAGAGATAAGGAACATGTAAATGTGCGGGAAATTAAGACTGGCGACTCGTCGAGCATTTGTGGTCGCGATATTGTGGCCCAACCTCCTGTTACACCAAGTACATCGAGTTATGATCTCGACGGTGATAATCGCGCGGGAAAATATCATAAAAAGCCTGCTCCGAAAGCTCCAATAAGTAACGAAACAGTAATAAGTAATGAAGACATTGACGAAAACGAGTCTCAAAACGCTTTGAAGGCCACCTTAGTCATTAAAACTGGAACATTGAGAACTGTTTCGAGTGCGGATGCTACGAAAGACATATTTTTGGCGCACACCTCGGACACGAAAAAAAGAAAGAAGAAATCTAGCAAATTACGCGCTAAGGAGAGCATATCTAAATTATTAACGATCCCAAAGAACATATTTCATAGTGCTTTCCATAAGGAGCAAAACGAAACTTCTTCTAAGGAGGAAGATTCCAGCTCCACGTACTCTGAGACCAGTGGATCCGCGTCGAGATCAGATAGTATTGGATCCCAGGTGTTCGTGGACGCATCCGCGAAATTATCTACTTCAAAACAGGAAATGGACGTGGAAGAGATCCCATTGAGACCGGAGCACGATAACAATACTAAGAATTCCGACAAAGATATGAACTTTTTTGCTAAGAAATTAGATACTGAGATTGTACCTTTGAACGAGATCGAAATAGATCTGAAAATTGAAGATAATAAGAAAGAAGAAGGTGCAATAAGTGCAGAAAAATCTGAAAATCATGAAAAGAATATTGAACATAAGCCCAACTTGCAGATTCGTGAAATGTCGCAGTCGCTGCCTTACAGCGATAAAAAAGAGATTATCACTGACATCAATTAAAAGCATTTCATTAATATCTCACAGGGGGAAATCATGTTATTATATACATATCTGTATTAAGTAATTATCTGTTTTTTCTTTGATGTTTTTAAAATATGATAAAAAGCTTGTTCCTTCTCTCTATTCCACTTCCCACACTTCATATTTTATCCTAATTGGAAATCCGGACAGAAGAGATGGACTGTTCCATTAAGATCGTATGGACTAGTTTCTGATTTCTGAGTCTTAATCAACTACAATTAACTGCAATTTCTGTTCTTAATCATAACACATAACATTTGCCTTAACTTACGCATTTTAACCTTGCACGATATTAATTTTTGACGTGGTATTATAATGCAATTAATCCATAACTTTTTTTGAATTATATGAGTGAATAGTTTGAATTATATGAGTGAGTAGTTTAAAATCAAATTTCTAGTACTTAAACTTATGATTGATTTATAATATAAATAATGCATACCGAATTGAGTTTCAGTTTAAATTTTTCAAAAAAGTGCTCATGTCCTTTTTTTGTTTAAATGGCGAAAGAAATTGACAATATGCCATCTGAGTTCCATGGCAAAAATGATAAGCTATAATAACATTGTATCTTCATTGTATTTCAGATAACGAGTTTCGCTACCTTACCTCGCAGTAAGAAGACAAGTAAGAAAAAAGTGGCATGAAACCTCCCTGCTGCTGACCGCATCAAGGAATAAGACCAAGTCCCTTGGCCATTGGAAGCAAAAAAAATCTTCATCAGCGTGCGGATCTATTGTAATTTTTGCACCAGCCAGATATAACGGGCACATTATCGGTCAGCAGCAAACATCGAATAGTAAAAAAAACACACGATGTATACAATGTTGAATGTTTCTAGCACCGGTATATTTCTTAATTCAGCTTTTTGACTATTGATTTAACTTGTCGATCGTTTCCATTAGTCGGAAGAGAGAGTTTTCTCTCATTTATTCGCAAGGAGCTTACCGGATATACGCGAGGGATAAAAAGAGATGCTAACAGCTTTGTCATCCTCTTGAGGAAAAAGAAACATACAGATACTGTTTATATATATACATATATATATCGATCACACACGTCGGGTCACGTGCACTGTTACTCACAGTCATCCGACACGTTGTTACACGATTCGATAATTTCCCATATGTATCTTAAGCTCCCGCGAGAGAGTCCAGTTTAGCTTTTATATGCTAACGTTTGGTAGTGCTATCGTAGGTAGGGAAGACTTGATACGATATTGCATGCAGTATATCTGCTTACGAATAGGCTTTGATTATAACGTAATGAAACTTTCCATAATCGAGGAGTAGAAAAAGAAGTCCGCTAGAGCCAAATCAGGGATTTCGGCGCTTGATTCCCGACATTAGGCCGTAATCGCCGTAACAATTAAGGGAATCCTCTACGAACCCAGCGACCGCAAAACCGCTGCGGGATGACTTTGATATTGCGAACGCTATTGTAATCGAACAAATTGAATCTAGTCAATCAGGAAGATGAGTACTCAGACCATACTGAAATAGTGCCACGCGATCCGTATATAATCCTCTTTTCACTATCAAATAGTAATTGTTTGATGGACTGTGTCTAACTACGATTGTGTATGCGTGTCGAGTATTGTGTGGACCTAATCGAATAGCTGTTTTCCCTCGCACGGAATCTGAAGTTCGAGAAATTGCGCGAATTTCTTAAAAAAAATAAAAAAAAAAAGAAGCTAGATAGATACGATTCTGCGTAAGGACCAACGATTTGTCTGTTAATCCATGGCAAATTGTTAAAAGTATTGTTGTCGTGCGAGATCACTTTCAGTTTTTGCATACCTGCAATGAAGATGCTAGCAATGTATACTTTGATAACGAGTTGTTTTATGACGACTTATTCTTAACTTCATATCAGTTTTATCGCGTCCCTAATAATTTAGAATATACCCTGCTTGTGTAACTCACAATGAGTTTTAAGTATCTGTCGTGCTTAATTTGTAATTACATTTACTAATTTGTAATTACATTTACTTGGTACGGTACCTTTTAGAGCGAACGATTTTACATCGTACGCTCACGAAAGACTTACGCACAAGTCCTACGACTATTTTAAATTTATCGTATGTGGTAATGTTAATGGATTAGTATATAATTTATCGTGTTGTACTTTAACATTTATTGCACAACTTGGACAAAATTAACGTATTTAACAATTAACATAAATTTAGAAACGAGAAAGACGCGGAACATGGTGTTGATGTATCAGTTGTGTATACTCGACGAATGAAATATTCGATATGTTACTAACAGTTGTTGATTTTACGTGTAGGTTCTACGCATAGTTCACGATCGAGGAAGAAAAATGTAGCAAATGCTTTTGATACACCTCGTGATGTATAAATAAATCATGTATAATGGACTCTACAATAAAATATAAAATAACATATATAAATGCGGATCTCTATGCAAAATAGATATTTTTATCCGATCCAAATGTGCAATATGAAATATGCATTTGCTGCATTTTATCTGCATCTTTATAATACGACTCGTTGAAAGACATTAATACGTATTTGTCTCGAACTTTATATATAAATATATATGCGAGAATATGTGATAAGAGAGTGAGTGAAAGAGAAAATGCTCAACTATGAATCTCTACCGATATTAAACGGTCGGTTTCCTATAGTTCTTATATATAAAGATATTTCTCGTTCTTTATAAGTATTTAACGCCTTCGGCGCATAAATTGTGTCCCGAGCTATTATGGTGCTGCGATCTTTGTAATTTTTTTTATAGTTCTGTACTTCGATACAGTATACATAAGAGAAAGCAGAATCTTGAAAATACGTTTGAAACCAAGTTACTCTGTGTCCGAGTTATTCGGCAAATTACCGAGTGGTGCAGAGCAAGATAATTAACAGTACTTCAGTTCAGGCATAGTGTAGCGAATAAATGACATTAAAATACGATATCTGATGAATACTCGCACTTGTCTTGATCAGCGAATATTATATATCCGTGTCATTTAAGTTAAGCCTGAGTTTTCATCTGATGAAACTCTTTTAATTTAAATTTCTTTTTGTTCGTAAAATATATAGATCTTGCAATAAATGTAAGGTGTGTGTTAAATGAAGAGACAAAACGTAATAACAGTATACGTTCGTATATATATTTTAATGCTATACTTAATTTTATTTTTTACAATTATAAAATAATCGCAAATACACGAATGTCGCGCGAAATCTAGCTTTGCTGAAAATATGGAACGGAAAATGAAATTTCTCACGTTGTGACATCGTGTCCGGTTTGACACGGACTATGTCAGCCGGAAGACGTAATGTTGCGCATTTGTCTGACCGCTGCTACAACACGGGCGTTGCATCCAGAGCTACCGTTCTGATAATCTTCCGGCGGTAATCTCAGCAGTAAGGACATGTGCTGGAGATTTTCCGATAAGCACAGACCAAGCTCCTCCAGTACATTGCCCAGATAATCTACATAATGTAACTTTTATTTATTATCCCTTCATAATTTCTCCAGAAATTGTCAAATTATAGATTTAATGAGAGACTTACCAATATCAGTTGCGAGTTGTTTGCAAGCGACGGAGTTCAATTGGCAAATGCCCAAAGTTTGATCCTGGAACATTTGACACGTTCCTCGGGCAACAATGTCCAAAAGTATACTAGTAAATCCAGATTCGCTTGAGCCTTGAACATATTGCGGATCGGCTGCCTTCAACGCTTGCGTTAGACTTGGATTGTCCCTCAACAAAAACGGTTCCAAGTGCTGCGGTAATGTCATTAAATATTGTCCAACCTGCGTAATATACTCTTGAGGAGCGAAACTATAATCGGGTAGGTCTGAACTTAGATTGGACATTTTGTTAGTCTCCAATGACCAAGCTGGCGCCTTTTGCACCAGCATTAATTGAGAGAATATTGGCGCAAAAATCACTTCATATGTGGTATGATGTAAATCAGTGCAGAGTTTTTGAATAGATTTTATAATCGAGTCGAGAATTGTCTTGTCCTCTGCAAAAGGAAAGGAAATTAGATAATTTGCTTCCTACAACATTATAATTACTATTGCCACGCGCGCGCGCGCACACACACCTCTTTGGAAAGATGCAACAAGATTTTCTAGATCGGTGCATCCTGATGGAGTTAACAGTAACTTTTTATACTGACAGAAAACGCTACCGTTTGTGTTTTGTAATTTGTTATTGGCTTCTGTTATGTCGATCACGAGCGACTTTTCGAATTGTTGCACTTGATGCAAGAGATCACCTGTACAGCAATCCGGATTAAATCAATAGTCTCATGTTTATGTCATATAAGAAATTAATTAATTGCTGAAAAAAATCACCTATATTTTGCATCAACGTAAGACACATTTGGAATAAATTCCAATCTTCGTGTTTCACTTTCTTTCTCTCAAGTTGTCTTAAACCTTGCTGATATTTATCGAGATACTTGTTGAAATAAATCTACAAGATACCAATAGATCGTCGACTTAATAAAAAATACATTTTATGACCATCGCGTTGATACAAGCGAAAAATCTTTAATATAAACGTACGTTTAACGATTTCAGTAAACCAGGATATCCACAACCTTCTGTAAAAAATTTACATCGCTTATTGGCTTCACTAGCATAGCCCATAATCCGCGAAATGCTAAGAGAAAGGGAATTAATAGTGTCGCTTAAATCATCATGCGAGCGATCCAAAAACTGTAGGTGTTGTTCTAACTGCGCAGTTTCGAACATGCTATATTTCGCGATGTAAGGAACATAAGGCGCATATACAGCTTGCGCCAGCGACAATAGTTTTTCGTTTTGCAATTTTCCGCGAAGCGACGTTTCGATAGCACCGTTGAGATTCGTGGCAAAATGCCTCGTCATCTGTTTCAATTCGAGTAGAATAGACAGTTGCACTGCGTTGGAATGTTGTTTCAGAACCGCCTCTACACATTCCGGAATACCGGGATCGAGGCTCCTCAAAAGGTCAGCGTAAACCTCGATATGTATATCTATCGAAGTATTAGGAAATACTTGATGGCACCATTTCACCTTTAACACAAACGGTTATAGAAAACATTCGCAAACCAGCAATAACAATTATTTTGATCTGGCAGATTGCGTATACCTGTTCGTGCCAAGAGGATAACAGTTTGTCATAATATATACGTAGCCAATAGGTAACATTTTCATCTTGTGCTAGCTCAATAGTGCGTCTCCATTCTTGGCCCAAGGAGACCTTCAAGCAGTTGTGATAATATTTGAGAAGCTGAGGCAGACGTTCCATCTTGCTAAAGATGTCCACGTAAGTTTTGGATTGCTCTAAATAACATAACACGATAACTGGTATCACGTCTTGCAAGGCGAATGAATTTTATTTCGACTTGTCAGTAAGTTTTACCTAAATTGGCAGCGGTAAAAGCTTGGACCAATCGTGGACTGGCTATCGCCTCGAGGCGATTTTTCAGGCCTTCTAACTGCAGCTTTTTATCCTCGTAATCGACAACATTCGCGAGCATAGCTAGAGATTTCTGCATGCTGAACAATTTATTTGATATAGCTTCTATATCGCCAGACTCGAATACCTGTTTTATTAAGGGAGATTATATAATTAAATTATTAATTATCGCGTATTACATCGAAATACGTGAAGAAACCCATTGGAGCTTTCATATATACCTCTTCCACGTCGTTCGCTAATACCGTCCAATTGTCGGCCTCGTGTAATCCCTGCTTAGCAGTTTGTAATTCCGTTTTTATCCTATCAATCTTCTCCAGCGTTGCCATAGAAGAGGCTGTATCTTTCTCGATCTGTGTTTCAATATTTGTTCTTTTCAAGTTACAACGCATCAAGATAAATATTTAAAGAAATTATTAGATGTACCAACCTTCGCAATCTCCTGCTTGACAGTGACCATTTTTTCTTTCAGTGCTAACGTTTCTTGCTGCAGGAGTTGAGTGTCTCTTAAAATTCTTGGTAAGCTGGAGAGAACCGATTGACTGGTCTCCTCTAAGGCACCGTTAACTTGTTGCACATACAATTGCAACTTCATCACTAATGATGACACAAAAGCCTGCAAAGCATACTCAGCTGCGACTCAAATGTTTTCCAAGACGGTTGTTCGTATTCTCATAAAAATTATCAAATAATTCACATATAATAAATAACAGACAGAATGTGAGATTAAAGTGCAATTTAAAATATATCTTATTATATTACTCAAATATAATAAATTGCTCTATTTCCTTATCATTACTCTATAAATATGGGAATCACTTTATTTAATTCACAATGAAATTGAAATTTAAGTTGCGAAAGATAACGTTATCGTTCAATAACAAATATTTGCGTAATAATTTATTCTAAATACGAAAATATACGCGGGTGTCGGAATAGACAGTAAAAGTTTATTGTCCGTCGGTAACGTTCCGACATAATTTTCGGCGTGATAGATCCGCGAGCCTATAAAAATATCATCCCCCGGAGGGGCCGAAAACCCTCGCGGTGGTGCGAAACAGTGGACATCATCTTTGAAAAGAGCCGATCGGGGTCACCGACCGCCGCCGCGGGCGGGTGGAAGCCGTCAGTACGGCGGCCGACGGGCGTCGCGACGACGAGCGTGTCTTCGGATCCGACGGGCGACGGGACGTGAAGCGGACGGGAGCGGAGATGGTGGCCCGCGCGACTTACGTCCTTGTTCTCCTGCGCCTCGGCGGACTTGAACGTCCGGTTGATCCACTCCTTCACGTCGAAGCTGTCCTCGGAGAACGCGGCGACGTCCTGAAACGGCCATTTTGAGGTTAGGAACGATGCTCGTAGGAGCCTCTCCGCCGTCGGTCCCTTCCTCCGCGAGATCTCGCCGTTTCGCTCTCGCGGCGCGAATTCGCGATCTTATAATCCGCACGGGCGGGTAAAAATCTAGCGATCACGACCGTGAGTTCGTATGTATATACGTCCCTGCGAGCGAGTCGAGCAAGAGGCGTTGAAACGAAAAAAAGAAAAAAAAAACGAGAAAAGCACCGAACCGACTCAACCGACGCCGCGCTCGCTTACCATGGCGAAGAGAGATAGAGAGAGAGTCGCGTTCGGCGTTCCGTCGGCAGTCGTGCGCGTTTCGAGGAGGCGATCCCCGGCGACGTGGTGCCGCGCCAAGGTCGGTCTCTATTCCGCCACGTTCCCCGTACGATCGCTCGCGTCGTTATCGTCCGTCGCCACCGCCGCCCGCCAGCCGCCGTCGTCGCCGTGGTACCGCGCCGAGTGGCGCGCGTCCCGTCACGCGTCAAGCGCGGCGGCCTCGTTCGTCACCGCCGCGCGATCCGCATCCGCCTCGGCTCCTCCGCGTTCTCGCCGTTGCATCCGGGATCTCCGCGACTTCGACGACGAGTATTCGCGACGGCGGCCGGGCGTGCGTGCGTGCGTGCGTGCGTGTAAGCAAAGAGAGAAGGGGAAGAAGGAGGCAATAAATTGACGGATCGATCGCGCGGTACATGGTACATCGCGCCCGACGGACGGCGAGGTTGAAGACAACGAGGAAGGAGGAGGAGGAGAGCGAGGAGGAGGTTGATCGCCTCGGCGCGGGACGGTTTCTAGGCTAGCACGTCCGGCAATCCGACGGAGAGGAGCGACGGCGGGCGGGCGTCCGTTTTATCGTGCGCGGGGTGTCACGGAAAAGTGCGTCAGGCAGTCTCGACAGTAAGCGAGAAAGAAAGGGAGAATGTGCGTGTATGTGTGAGAGCGAGAACGAGAGAGAGAGAGAGAGAGAGCGGGAGAGGGATAAGGGTGAGAGGTGGTGAGAGGGAAAGGGAGCGAGTGACGAGGCGATGAAGCGTGCGACGTCCCCCTTAGCAGCGATCATGATAAAGACGACTTGTGTGTCTCGGATTCCAGAATACGCTCGTGCACATCGAGGAGGAGGCGGCCACTTGGTTGGACGTGACCACCGCCGCCGCTGCCGTCGTCGCCGCCGTCGCCCTCCTTCTTCCTCCCCCTTGGCGCGATCTGGAGTCCCGCGTTCCCGACTGGAGCGAGGCGCGTTCCTCGTTTGTTCTGCGGCTGGCGAGGCTGGCTTCCTACTCCGCAGGTGGTGCGTAACGAGGCGGCGAAAAAAAGATCGGGGGGAGAAACAGACGGGGAGATAAAGAGAGAGTGAGGGGGGGGAGGGAAATGGAAAACGGCGCGTTATCGGCCGTTTCCGAGCCCTTTGTCGATCGCCACGCCTTCGAGGCTGCGTTTGCGCCACGTTATTTGCGCAACAGTTGGAAGCTGGAATTTCGTCTCCCCGAAAATCACCCCCGCACGCGGCCCAAGTAAGGAAGGGAGAGAAGGACGCGGACGCGCCGCGCTGCCTTCCCGTTTCCCGCCGTCGTCGGACGAGGGCCCAGGAGCAGGAGCGACGACTCCACTCGCTGGCTGGCTGGCACCACCGCCGCCACCCGCCCTCGCCACCACTACCATCACCGGACTCCCCTCGCCCTTCCGTCGCCTTTTGCAAGAGGGCCGACCGTCGTCGACAGTCCGTGAATCGTGCGCACACACATGGCCGATTGCCGTACGTTACATGCACTTATACGGGGTGTACCCGAAGACGCGCGCCTTCCTTCCTTAGTGGCTAAGAAGCGAGACGATGGTTGCGGTCGGTTTCGAGGCATTCCGTCATTACTAGGCTAACGTGCCCGGAAAATTAACAATCTAGCGTCCGCTAGTTGTAAAGTCAGATTTGAGGCTCGACGATCGTAGAGTCGTTAACTTCATCGTTAGATTAAGATCGAGGTAGTATAAGAGAGTTGGAGAAAAAAAAGTTATGATAAAATCAGAATTTAATCGAGATCGCGAATGATAAAGGACAGCCTCGAGCAGGAAGAAAGTCCGCGATTTCCGGAACATCCCGTATAACCGCGTCACATCCTTGTATCGTTTCATACGCTAAATTTAACGACTGACCCGATCAATTAACGAGGCTCGGACGCGAAGGCGTAGTTGCGTGGCAACGCTCGTTCCAATTTTCTTCACGTAGCGTCATCTCCATCTCGCGGATATGCTACGCGTGTAAATTTTTCGCCGATCTTTCCTCATGAAATTCCATCGGTAGATCGAGATTCAATTTCGCCACGATCGTCTCACGCAACACGCCGCTTCGCGCCACGCACCTCGAAGGTGAATCCGATGCACCCATGCAGAGATCCCACTTTACGCATTGTTAAACGACGCCTTTTACAAAATTATGCGAACTCCCCGGAATCAAAAAAGTGATCTGGCCTACTATTATGCATCAATATACCGATCGGACACGTTGCGACAAAATTTATAAGATCTTTTTTTTTTATCGACCTACACTCCAATCTGGCATCGTAGATTAATGATCAGCTTGCCATCCCCGGTCGTTACTGTCGACACGTAAATCGACACGCGGATGATAGATAGTAAGGAACTCGTGAAAAAAAAGACTGCCTATAAGAATGGCAGACTCCCTTCTCCTCCCATCCTATTGCGAGACTGCCGTCTATCCCGTGCGGCTCGGACTAAACAATGAACATTCTTATAGCGTTTTCGACTGGACCGGATTGAGTCGCTCTTAGAGCGATTAATGACGTCTGTCATAAATTCTGTCTTAGGTTGATGATTAGATGAATAATCAAAACCCAACCCATATTCGACTTATACAGTTGCATCTAGCATTCTAGCTAAAAGTCTCGACTAGACTTTATAATAGGTATTGGTCCAGGCAATCTTATGCTATGCATATACAACTATTTTGAGAGGGCCCTTATTTTGTAACTGGTACCTAATCCAGATTCATTTCCGGTCAAACACATGGTCATAGTAAATTGGATCGAATCGCTCTGCGAGCCCGATTCAACCCGGTCCAGTCGAAAACTCTATTAAATGTTCCTTGAATGTCTTGTACGGCACATTTGTATCCAGCGAACATTCTGAATGTTTAGAATTCTTTAATATCCGTCGATATGCCGACGAACTTTAAAAACTTTATGCAATTTATAGTAATTTGCGAAGCGACATTTCTATCTTTGAACATTCAGAAGAGTCCCGAGGTAATCTTGGGACGAGTTCGCGCTGGATATCCGTGAATGTCGCACCCGCTCGGCGATGCCGATCGACGGAGTCGCGCGGCCGTTCCTCCGTCAATCGGGCCGTGAGAGACCCGGCAATTCCGCCGCTTCTTCGGCGCCGCGCCATTCGACAATCCGATCGAAGCGCCAGCATTTTTCCAGAGCGGCGGAATCGCGGAGTCGCCACCCCGATCGCTGTTCTCCGCTGGGCCCCGCGCGCGGCCATGTAGCGCACAACGCACACTCGGGGCCTGTTGGGAGAAGGGCAGGAAGGAGAAGCATCAACAGCGGCCTTGAGACTGAGTAGCAGCCAATCCCAAGCCTCCGCTCGCTAAAGGAGGTGGCGCGGGATTGGCTGAGCGTTCTCCACGATACCAACCGCGACTTCCGGGCGCTTCCGGTCGGGACCACAGGCCGATTCCCCACGAGCGGCAGGGGCCCCTGGTGAGTTTAGCGTGCAGGTAACGCCGATTTTTCTCTATTTCTTCTTCTTCTTCTTTTTCTTCTTCCTCTCTTCTACTTCTACTTGTTTTTCGCCTCTCTCGCAAGCACTGTCCTCCCAGCACTCTGTTCGAGCAGCAGCGGCAGCATCTGAGAATTGCAAGTAGGTGCCAAATGCGCGATGACGGGCCGGCTTTTTCCCGCGAAATTGTGAAAAATCGAGATATCTCTAATATCGCCGATCGACGATCGAAATTCACGGTGCAGTTTCGGTAAGTTCAAAGAACCGGTGCCGTAAGTGTGAGAATTGAGAAAAGGGACCGCCGACCGTGGCGTCTCCCCGTAAAATTTACGATCGCTCTCAATAGTTTTATTTCGGAACTATTCAAAAAAGAATTGGTAAACCAGTCTTTCTTCGGTTTCCTAGTTTTGTGTGTGTGAAAAGAAACTAAGAACTGAAACTAATCGTAAACCGGTGTTAGTGTAACCGATCGGCAAGGATCATCCTGCAAGTGGCATCCGAGTCCGAACTCTCCGAAAATCAGACCGGTTTCGTTCGTCCGAGAGGCTACCACGCATAAACTACGCGATAACTAATACACCTTTCTTCGGCATTTCGGTATGTCACTATCGCGAAACATTCTCGCACGATCGACGCTGGTCGGTTATTGCACTCTGCAAGTTCCGAGATCGGTCCGACCTCGACGAGTTCGATTCTCGATACTATACGAAAACATGATTTTTCGTCTCCAGCATCGGGATGTAATCTCAACGAAATAACTCCGGGTTTCGCACCCCCTTCCGGAGCCGGTCCCACGCGAAAGAAAACACCCCGGCGAATTTGCCGGCACATTTATCGCGGCGTTTAATATAAAACAGGCTCCTGAACGCAACTCGACGGTGACTGTGCAGCACAGGAAATCGATCTCTTGTTCTCCCGTCTACATTTCTCTTTTTGTATGTATATATATTTTTTCTTTTTTTTTAATATCGCCCCGCGTGCGCGAAACGCCACTCGACTTGGCGACTTGGTGATATACGCCCGGCTCTCTGTGTTGCGGCACAGGAAATCGATCTCTTGTCGATCTTTTTTTTTTTCTTTTTCTCTTTCCTCTCCTGCGCGCAGAGAAACCCAGCGTTGCAGATTGCAGAGCGATTTTCGTTGCGATTGAACCGCTGATTAATCGCTGATTCGCTATTATCATTTTCCCCTTTACGTCACATATAATAAATACACACAATTCGTTCTACAAACCTTGGTGTTGGCCCCTAATTTCTCTCTTTTTTTTTAGGGGGGCAGTTACACACACACACACAACCACCCCCTGCTGCAGCGATATGTTACATTTGGTCCAGCCGATATTTATATATTTCTTTCTCACTCCCCCCACCCTCGGTCCCCTCAGCGCACACGAAACCAACGCTTCGGCTCATTTTTACTGTGCAGCTTGATTCAGTTTATCAATAAAGAAAAAAAAATAGACCCTCAGACAATTACTCATATAAACTCAACGGGCGAGTACTTGTGGTTAGGGTGCTGTATTGATATATATATATATATTACATATGCGTTAAATTACCATATATTATATGCTCCCAACTGCACGTACACTTCATTATCGGCACTCCCTTGCGGAATGAAAGCCTCCTTAGAATATACGCTCTTTGCTAAGTAGTGCCGTACCTTTAATCATGTCGACGTGAGTTTACGGCCGTGAGAGTGCGGCGCGGGGCGCCCATAACTCAATCCCGCCGCATCTGCGCTAACGATCGACCCGTAAGACGTGCCATCCTCGTGACTCTCGGGGTCTCGAAAGCAGGAAATGAAGCCGGTATATATTGTCGAGGTAATTTTTCAATGTTTGCAGGTACGCGAAAACGCGCCTCCTATCGTCGCACGAATAAACGTAAAAAGGTTGCTTTCGCGTTTCCATTACATCGAAATCTTGAGCTAGTCAACGTAATATCGGTGTCAATTGTCATTTAAAAACACAGCTTTCGTTCGAAAGCTTAAAAGAAAATCGTTTCCAGGATGAGATCTTCGAAGGAAGAAAGTATTTTCGCGCGACGATTCACGTCCATTTCAATCTCGCGCCTCGGCGAAACTTGCGGAAGATAATTGTTTGATGTTCTTTACAAGATAAACATTTCGGAAAGTGTGTCAAGGGATGAAACAGATAACTTCCCTTTCGATGCCGTTCGATCGCGACTTGTACGATGCGATTCGTGGAAACCGCGTCGTTCGTGTTTATTTTTCGTTCGCCATCCTTCCAAGCCCAGTGCCTTTGGTAGGAGAGAAAACGCGATATCTCTTCCTCTTTACCAAGAAACGAAGAAAGATACATGTTAAACTAGAATTTCTTAACCTTTGGGAAATCGAACGAATTTGAAGCTTTGAAATGCGTTTCACTGCGGTCTTTTGTTGGATAATGTTCCTGTGTGAATTATTCGACAACATTTTTAGGAATTATATTTAAACCGCAGTAAACAGGAGCTCATTATTCATTATAATAATTTTTATTTCAAGTGATTTTATACAATTTTATATGAGGTGGCCGAGAATTCTACCTTATTTTCATGCAATAATTTAATTAGCATCAAGATTTTTTTCGTGTCGAAGCTATTCTCCATCTCGCTATTTTATTTAGCGCGAAAACAGAAAAAAAATCCATGAGCGCAAAGTCCGTTGATCCCCGAAAAAAACCGAATCGTTTCCAGAATTGCGCATTTCTTCGGTACACTCGCGAGCGATCGAGCGGCGTATCGCTTCTAAGCGCGTGCCTGCAAAAAGAGCATCGGGTCCGAAGTAGAAAGGTGAAAGCGTACGCGAATCGAACAATCGAACACAGAATCCGGTCGCGATATCTCTCCCTGGCCCGATCGCTCCCGGCGGCTTTGATCGATCAACTCTGCCTTGGTGCCGCGATTCTACGATCGTGATCGCGCCCGACAAGAGACGTCGGGTCTCATTAAACGACGTGACGAATTTGGAATCGTCCGTAAGCGTCCAAATTCGTCGAGGAGGAAACGTTTTTCTTCGAAGTTTCCAACTACAGTTTCCGACGTGACGTTTCAACCTTGGAATTAAATCCCCGCTTGAGGCCCACTTGTGAAATTAATCGCGTGGAACAACGTCGCGTTATCCGCTTATACGCTGTTGAGGCTTAACTAGCCACTTCTGCTTTCAATGCTGGAGTAATTCTCGAAATTGCCAGCGTATGTAGCCCCCGTTACCGCGAGAGTATAACTGTACAGGCGAAGAGACACAGTGCGTACACGTTATACGTTCAGGGATAGATCAGTATCGCGACGTGATAAATGAGTAAACTGATGTATTATCATCCAAGTACAGTTAACGCGGACCGATTTTCGCGCGATTGAGCCCCGATCTCTTTCTCACGGGACGTGATTCCTGCCAATTAAATCGAGGCCGAGACGCGAATTACATTGTTCAGCCGAACATATAAGCCGAAATGTCGTTAACCCGTTTAATTGCCACCCGCGTGCCCGACGTGTGTGTGCATCGCGCCCGCGACGCGCACGCGGGAAGGGGGACGGGGGGGGGGTGGGAGACGAAAAGGCGAAGGCGGAGGAGGAAAGGGCTCCCCCGACTCGCCTGCGAGCGGACGATTCTGAATGAAATTTATTCGGGAGGCCAAGACGGCGGCAGAGACTATAATACCATCAAGTGCGCGGTGCGACGCGATCTTCTGAGAAAATAAACTCTCCCGCGCTTCCCACCAGGCCCGGCTCGCGCGCGATCTTCTTCGACTCCGACTTCCTCCGAGACTCGAGTTCTCCTCGTTGAAACCGATCGGGGCTCTCTTTCCTTTCTCTATCGCCCGTCCGCAACGTCATATCGCGAAAGAGCGAGCGGGAAAGAAGGAAGGAGAGGGATAGATCGCGCGCAATTCGCTTCGCAGGAGGATAATGAAAAAAAAAGAGGAGAGACGAAAGGAAAGCCGGGATAGACGCATCCAGGGAAAAAGAGGGGGGGAAGAGAAGAGCGCCGGGGCGAACGGGATATCGAATATGTTTTTTCTTTCCTTTTTTTTTTTTTTGCTTCGCGGCCCCTTCTCTCGTCTCCTCACACGCGTATATTGATTTTTAGAAATTCTTCGTGAGACGGCCGAACGAGCGCGCGAAGCGCACCGGCCATAAGAGCGGCGCGGCGAGGCGAGGAGAAGGAAGAAGCTCGGGGGAGGGAAGAAGCGGCGCGCGAACCACCCACGGCCGCGGCGGCGTCGGCGGCCGCCTTAGGGCGAGCGAGCGCGCGGAGAGGGATATCCTTGATGCGAGCGAATCTGCATTATTCGTGAGAGCGTATATTACGAGGCGGCGAGAGAGACGCGAAGGGACGCGATGCGTTACCAAGCTCTTTATTCGCCGATCCCCCCCCCGAGCGCGCGCGCCCCGAAGTTCCCGATGAGACGCGGGGATAATCGCAACATCCGTCTTTGCGACCCTCGCGGTCCCGCAATACATTTGTCGGTACACCTACCTCGCCGGAAAAGTCGCGGCGAAGAGTCGCAGGATGTAAGCGACGTAGCCCGAGGGGCACGAGAGGTCCGTAAATGCAGCTTTAATAATACGGAGAAAATTCTCGGCCGCTCGTCGGCGCGTTTTAGGCCTTAGGCCTAACCGCGCGCTCTAGACGGCCCTGCGAGTCTCGCGGTCGAGAGCAATCGAAGGCAGTCGAAGTCGTCCGAGCG